CCCCCCCACACACATACATACAAACACGTATCTTGAGCCATTGTGATATCTTTCACACATGCGCGCGCGCGTGAATACACAAACTCCTTCACATACGCAACAATTTTGTCCTGAACGAAAATTGTGTCATCTGCTGTTTATTTTTTTTCCATTGTGCTCGCTTCAACTTTTAGAAGCTTGTGTTTGTTCAGCACTTAAAGATACCAGTTCGCATTGGCCGCCATGCGCATCACATAGGCTATAGTTATTTGCCTACAGGTGTGTTCTGAGTGAAACTGATGTTTTTATGGCGGTCCCCATCCCTCACTGTCCAATAAGTGGCCTCTGTATTAAATACAGATAATTTTATGTCTCATTTTCTGAATCTGCGCCTAAGAATGTACAGATATTGTAGCACGTTCATTCACGCATAAGCAAAAAGCGAAGCTCATGCTCTTGTATAGTCTACTACACATTGTCACCATGTAACTTTTTTAAAAAGAAAGAAGGATGACTATTCACAAAATGTTTCTATGAAAAATACCTAGTAATACTGAAAAGCACAAATTATTGTGATACTAAGCCTATGCTGTACGTGTACGCTCATGGTAGACAAGAAATGAGCTGAGACGATTGTTTCTGTCGTGTCCATTCTCCTCAACGTCTGCCTGCAGTGAATGTCACTTGACTTGCTTTGAAAAGAGCCCATTACAAAATGTACCGAGACAGCGTTTCATCTCGCTTGCGTACTTCCGTATCCACAGACGAATTTCGCTTTTTGTGTGTCAGGCACGCCTAACATGACACAAAGGCACTCTTTGAATGTAAACCGTTGGGGGCACGTAGGCTACGTTGACGTCAGAGCAAACAGATTTTCTATTTCTCTTTTTTTCTGAGATAAGAAAACAGAAACAGAATCCTGCAACTGAACCGAAGACACCTCTGAAGTGTTCAGATCACAATGGCAAACAAACAATAAACAAACTCAAAGCAAACAAACAAACAAAAACGAGCGGACCAGGAGGAAGCCAAACGTTGCTTGAAGTGGGGGCTGTTGATGTGACACTTTAGCCTACTCATGTTAACAAGTAAAATTATGCCCCGTTTGGAGAACCAAGGCACATGTCAACCACCTCTAATATTGCTGTCTTGAACTTGAGTAGCTTTATTTAATTATTTATTTATTTATTGTGGGGGTGGTGTTGATGTAACACATTACTTATGTTACAAGTAAAATTATGTCCCTTTTAGTTGAGAATATCAGTGCACACGTCAACCACCTATGTAACTGCTGTCTTTTTTCCCCTCTCGGTTGATTGCTAGGGGCCTAAGCCATTCGGTCCTTGTCCTGCTATTCGGCAATTCTTTCGTTTCTTTGAAGAGTTCATGGTTTTTGAAAAGTAGCCTTTGCCATCATCTTCACCACAAGTCTTTTTGCTTGGCTGTTTGATTTTATTCATGCTAGTTTGCTTTGTAGGCCCAAGTCTAGGCTTTAGGTCCTATTTCCGTGTTCTTGAGATTCTTCTCTAAGATACTTGGCTTGTTTTCTTACGAACGTGAAGACAACGGCCAAGTCTAACGATTCACAACGCAGCCATTAGGCCCTGTGGGGTTTTTTTTCTTATCAGTTTTTAGACTTTTGGGAAAGTACTTCTTGTTGATTGCTTAACAAAAACAAACAATGGACAGATCATCTGTTGTTGTTATGATGGTCCCTGCCTTTACGGTGAGTTCGACTGTGATCACATTCATTCATTGTCATAATCTAGATATAGATATAGATAAAGATCTTTCTCATACTCATGGCTTATCATACGAGTAGAATTTTTAGAATAGAATAATCCAGCTTTAACTTAAGTCTTTATTATCTAATTGGTCTTGTGTTGACAGATTTTCCGGGCAATCTGGGATTGGAAGGCACGATCACCAACGTTTTTTTAAGATTAATTAGAGGCCTAAAATCTAGCCTAATTTAGAATTTAGGGAAATTCCACTTCCCCTGTCTAACTTATGTACAGCATAAATGGCCTTTCCTCTGAGTCTAGATCTAAATCTAGATTGGAAGAGGCTAGCCGTACTTTAATGACGGCTAGACTGGCAGTCTAGCCGTACTTTTTAAAGTACAGCTAGACTCGCAGTCTAACGGTACTTATTCTTAATATGATGGCTAGACTGACCATTTACAAAAAATAGGCCTACTGAATTGTATATACATTTTTAGTGTGCAGTACGTTAAAGTATTTGCATTTGAGACGAAACCAGAGGTGCCTTAATGACAGTGCATGTATTTTAAACCTCCTGTTTTCTAATGTTAATAGGGCCTAGCCTCCTAAGATAATACGGCTAGACTGGCAGTCTAGCCGTACTTAAGTACGGGTAGACAGCCAGGCTAGCCGTACTTAAGGACGGCTAGACTGTCAGGCTAGCCGTACTTAATATTGATGGCTAAATTGTAAATGAAATTTTTAGTTAGCAATGCCTAAAGTGTTTGTATATATTTAAGATAAAACCAAAAGACTGAAAAGATGCCTTTACTGACTTGCATGTATTTGAACCTGAATAATTACTAGATCTAGATCTAATGAGACCTGTGTACTAAACAGGCTTGAGTCGATAGGGCCAAACCTAGATCTAAGTACGGCTAGACTGGCTGTCTAGCCGTACTTAAGTACGGCTAGACTATCAGTCTAGCCGTACTTTCCTAGCCACTTCGATCTAGATTCTAGGCCTATTTGTCGAAGGTGTCTCTCAGATTGTATCAGGAGATTTTATTGAGACCGTTTTTGGTGTAGATTCCAGCTCTATTTCTCCGAACAGATTCCGTTCTCGAGATTTGTTGATAATAATTGTGAATGGAGTGGCCCATGTGTGTGTGTATGCGAGTGTGTGTGTGAGTGTGCATCATGTGTGTGGGGGAGGGGGGGGGGGCGTGGAGGGATTTTTTTTTGGCAACCTCTATTCTCACCCGGGGTTACAATAGCGCAGGCGAGTCTTTTGGCTATTCTCACCCGGTGGGCGTTCACCGTTATAGCCTAGGCCAACCAGTGAAGCGTTCGCCCTGAACCACAGAATTCTACTCTGTTATAACAGAATTATAGAATTCTGTGCTGTGAACAAAAGTTCTCTAGATCTATTACTACTGTTAGTATTAGCCTAAAAGCGTGCAATTTTGTCTGTGGGCAGTGGAGAGAGAGAAAGAGAGAGAGAGAGAGAGAGAAGAATAGTGCGAGAACTTCCGGGCAAAACAAAATGGCGACCCGCGTAGTTCGGCTCGATTCGGAAAGTTGAATAGCCGTAGCATCTTTGTAGACAACCAAAATTAATGTTTTTTAACATTATTTTTAAACTTTGTTTTGGTCAATTTGATCGTCCACACCGATAGACGTATTCAGAGAGAGAGAGAGAGGGGAGGAGTAGATCTTGCAAGAACTTCCGGGCAAAACAAAATGGCGACCCGCGTAGTTCGGCTCAATTCAAAAAGTGAAATAGCCATAGCATCTTTGAAGACGATCAAATTAGCTTACTTTTGTGCTAAAACGTAATTTTTTCTTGGCTTTTATCAATTTGATCATCCACACCGATAGACAGTATTCCAAAATGAGGAAAAACAGGTCTTGTTTCACACCGGGTGAGAATAGCCTACGCTGGCAAGTCTCACCCGGGGTGAGAGGTATATCGTATTTTTATTCTCACCCCGGGTGAGAATAGCCACTTCCTTTTTTTTTACATTCATGAAGGATGTTAGTTTTTTCTGGGTGACTAAATTTTATGCAAAGTAGGTTACTGCCAAGGTCGATCAGTCTTGTTTTCTCGCAGTACCTTTTGAAGGTATTTTCAAATAGTATCGTCAGGGAACGTTGCCCCAACCACAACTGAAGTATCTGAATCTCTAGCACTAAAAATTGAATTGGATGCAAAAAATGCTTCTTCCCAGTCCTCGCAGAATGGCAGAATGGAAGATCACACCTAAATCTCGCAAATAACCAAAAAATCTTGAAAACGAAAACCGTCTGGAGAAATAGAGTTCAAGTTTATTTTCCTGAACGTTCAGAGAAATAGTCACTTCGTATTTATTATTATTGTAGACTGTGGTGGACTTTCTTTAAAAATGAAATGTCAAGGCACATTTTGGGAAGACCTAACGAGCGACCACTATGAATCTATGAAACTGATAGAGGATGTAAGGCAGTGAGGGTGTGGCTTAGGGTTGCCAGAGTTATGGTTAGGGTTAGGTCCTTTCTCTTTATTGTGTTTAGTTTGTTGGGATCGTCGGTTATGAATGTCCTTCCCAAATTTTAAATCTAGGTCCATTAAAAAGCAACCCCCATAGGCCTCGCTTTTACTTAACTCTTTAACCACAGAATGATTTTCCATGTTTTGACGCTTAATTTTTTCTTAGATCTTGTGAAATACGTATACAGTAACGGGGTATGAAAAATGTTCATAAAATGGCAAAAAAAACTAAAACTGTCAAAGGGAAAGTATAGAGAACTTGCCTGCATCTAGACAAATTGATATAATCCACTCAGATTTGTAAGAAATTGCATATATATATATGCAGTATTATACTTCATGACACTCTGCCATCTGATCAGACTCTGGGACTGAGTAAATTTCTCTGGACGCTCCATTTGTCCACTCAGAGTATACCTACCTCACACCCCTTTGGCCTCAAGATCACCATTCTCATTAGAAGGAAACAGAGAAAAAAGGTTCATGTGACAGTTTAGTTGAAGGTCTACTGTGATGTTTCTGGGTTAGTTGAGGGTCTGCTGCCGAATTGATCAGACAACTGGTTTATTTTATAGGTTTGCTGCGATGTTTCTGATTTATTAAGGCTAGTATGATCTCTAGCCATTAAAAAAATTATATGCTTTGGTGGTTGCAGTTTGTCAGTGGTAGAGGGGGGTGAAGCAGGAGTTGGTTAAGAGGGTAGTGGGGTTTCGAGGGGGATGGGGGTTGATCACCCCTGATTTTTAAAAAATACTCCTTTCAGGTCACTAGCTGTCGCGACTTATTTGCTAGTCAGTCGTAATATTTACAACTGCAAAATTCTTTTATCTTATGGACCCCACAGAATGGAGCAATCCACCCACTCACACACCGCAATTGTAAACGCCACATATTGTGGTCAAATTTAAATTACCCTAAGCGCTGTCTTTACCATGGCCTATTAGGAGGGACTAATGCTAGCCTACATAAGATGTGTAATTATCAGTAGACTGTGGGCGATTGGGCAGGAATTATGGCATATCGCCATAGTGTGGTTGACCTTCAACTATCCAGGTACCAGACAATGAGTATAAAAAAACGTACAGTGTAGTTTAAAAGACGAAAGTAATGGGACAGACTTGGAATACAATTTAGTTCCCATGAATGCACTCAGAAAGAAGATAAAAAATATATAATCAGCACTGCTTGGATGAAACCAACCATGTATGATAGGATTTCCGTCCTGATTTGTTGTTTTTTTTATCTCAGCTTATTTTCCAAAGTTGGTTATATATATATATATGATATGAATTATGACAGTCGATATTCTGGTTCTAGGCTCAAAAACAATATTCCTTTTTATATAGTTTATACAGGCGAATATGATGAAGGGAAAATATAAATAAGTCGCACTTTCTGCACATAATCAAGATTGTAAATTTTTGGTACGTGACTCTTACTTGAAATTATCTCTCAGATCCTCAACTTGGTGTGAAATAACCTTGCTTTGATAAGTTGATGGTTTTTATTTCTGCATTCTAGGGTTCAACAGTATAATAATAATGGGTGTTTTGCGAAAATGGGCTTCTGTGGCGATCACCCGAAAAGTTCCCTCCTTTTTTAGAATTCTGAGTTGAGACCCATGTTTCTCTCTCTCTGTTTCTTTCTCTCTCTTTCACTCTCTCTGTCCCTCTCTTTCTCTGCCCTCCCCCTCTCTCTCTCTCTCTCTCTCTCTCTCTCTCTCTCTCTCTCTCTCTCTCTCTCTCTCTCTCCCTCTCTCTCTCTCTCTCTCTCTCTCTCTTTCTCTCTCTCTCTGTCCCTGAGATGAAGCCTTTCTTTCTTGTTGTGAGCTTATTCCACACAACAGCAATTTGTCTCCTTATTGATTCACAGATATGAAGCCATGGACAAGCTGAAGAAGAAAAACAACAAGGGAGGAGTTTCTAATAATTCAACATCTGAGTGGTCTCGCACTGGTAGCTTCATGAATAAACCAGACATAGGATGGATCCATCCAGATGCCCAGCTTTCTCCAGATGCTGGCATTTGCTATGGAGTCAGGGTATTATAACCTTTAAAAAAAAAGATTGTTTGTATACAGTGGCGTCCAAAAGAAACTTGAAAATATAATCAACCAATCATAGTGTTAATACTCTGCACTACTCACTCATGCAGCATTCAGTTTTAAAGCTAAATAAATTCTGCAACAACTGACACATTAATAGTTGATCTATGTTAGCAGTCAGTGCTTTCTCGGGTTGCGAGACTGTAACAGAATCTTTAAGTGGTGTACTAGTAGCTGGTGGTATGGCAGTTGTCAGGTGTTATTGGTCTTGATGTCAACAAATGATACCCACAATGCTCCTCAGTTTGTACCTGATATGACACAAGATTTGTTTTCTGGGTCCCTGCTAGCCATTTTGGTCCTTTTGCATAGCTCCTGTAGAACACTTTTGTGTTCGCTCAGTGATCCTTTCCACAGCTGATTAATTGGATAGCGCTCCTCGAGCAGTTGTTGACTTTAGATGGTAGGGGTAACCATTGTCTTTAATATAGAAGCTGTGTGTGGATGTTCTAGTGCATGTATTGTTCTTTTTTTTAAAATTTTCAGTACATTGGCTGCCTGGAAATAAAAGAGTCCATGAAAACTCTTGATTTCGATACCAGAACCACCATTGCAAGGTAGGAATGTAAAAATGAAAATCTGAAAAATATTGTGCATGTTTAGAAAAATGCTGATTTTTCACATTTCATTATTTTGACGAGCGCCTGATTTCACCACACTACCTCATACACACATGCACGCACGCACGCATGCTCTCTCGCTCTCTCTCTCTCTCTCTCTCTCTCTCTCTCTCCCTCTCTCTCTCTCTCTCTCTCTCTCTCTCTCTCTCTCTCTCTCTCTCTCTCTCTCTCCCCTCTCTCTCTCTCCCCCCTCCCCTCTCTCTCTCTCTCTCTCTTCGTCTCTCTATGTGTGTGTGTGTTTGTTTGTATGTGTCCGTGTGTGTACAGAAATTTCATAGTGTAACATACAGGCTGTGCTAATTCTTGTCTTGTTGAATATTTAAGTAATAACTGATTCAATGAACAAATTTACAACTCCTTGCTTGAACGAGTTTTAACAAATCTTTTTTTTGTAAAACCAGGCATGTAGGTGTAGGCCTGTGTGTAATCTTTTAATTTGTGTAAAATTCTTGTGCTTTTTTTTTCTCTTTTTTCTCCCCCAGTGTTTTAATGTCCAGGACTGAAATTGTATTAATGTGCTTCTTCCTTGAGGTTGTACGTTGTTCATGCTTTACCCTCAGCATTGACTTGTTGAACTTAATTGATTATTGCTCAGGCACCTGATTCCTATACCTCTTATTCTTCTTCTCATGCCGCTACTAGAGCCCAGCTAGTAACTCTCTTTTAAGATCTTTATCTCACAGTGCCGTTGATTCATCTACATAGAACATAGAATCATCCCTTGCGTGACGTTTTCGAATGCACTTTAAACATTTATACTGACCAGAGTGGCTTCAGTTATGGGTTCAATTTAATTGTTGAAAATTTTGCCTGACAACAGCTTGAAGGGCCTACCTTTTTCAATTTTGTAACAACCAAAGTAGTGGTGGTGAGTAGTGAAGGGCTCACGGGCTTGAGCCCCTTCCCCCCCCCCCAACTCTATCCCAAAGTAAATGAACGTTTCTTAAATATTGAAATAAGCAGTTGGAACTGTTATGGTTGCTCGCAATGAACACAGAGTGATCAGCTTAGCGGCTTGCTCGTTTACCCAATCATTGTTGTCACCGCTTACAACTATAGTAACCTAACAGCCAATCAAATGTCTTTAGGGATCAGCACAAGATAAGCCCATTCCCATGGCCCTTCCTTAATTAAACTTCTTGAAAAAAGGTAGAGGACTGGGGGAAAAAAATAACACTGTACTGAGGGCTCACGCTCTCCTAGCCCTGACAATAGGGTGAAAGTTTACGGCACACTTTTCCGCAATGACACAGATACCTACGGGCTCATTGGACCTTTGTTAGATGCAACTACACGGCCTAATCAAGGTCATAAAGGGAATATGTTTGAAGTGCTGTGTGTGTATGTTTGTGTTTGTGCCGCTGAGATTTAACAGTTATAAATGACGTCGATCCACTTTTAAGGCAACTTTTTCACCCAGAAGAATCTAATTTAAAACAAAGAGAGGGATGACAAAGGTGACTCTTCTTGTTTGAATGGTTCTGCTCAAAATACTGTGGCTCACCGAGAGTATAGAAAAATCAGTACTGTTTAGTTTAGGGCTTATTGCTTGCTATACTATTTGGTGGTAAAGAAGTGTCAGCAACCTAAGCCCCACCCAAATTTTGGTCCACCCACCGCCATTGAACCAAGGATCTTTAAAGTGTGGAACTTCTACATGATGGGTCCTCCAAAATTTTTTGTCCTTGTAGGCTACCTCTTGTCTTCAGCAAAGTTGTCATAGTATATTTGCATCACAGTGTCTTTTGTGCATGATACTTTACAAAATTATCTTTTAAATAGTTTAAGTTTGTGCTTTATTTGTACTTGTTTTCTAACTGCTTGTGTCATGTCCAGGGAATCCATAAACCGGGTGGCTGAAGCTGCTGGTCTGAAAACTGCATCTAAAAAGAAAAAGGTAATGTTCACTGTTGTGTATTGTTATTTTTTTACCGCTTTTGAGAGAAAAATGACTGGGGGTTCTCGTTATCAAGAGGCGCAATGTTCGCCTCTCATCCAATAGGTTCGGGGTTCGAAACCTGACAGTGGCGGAAAATTTTCTTCTCTAAAATAGTTTTCTCCTGTCACCTCCTTTCCTGATCTCTAATCATGTTAGGACATCTGACATCTGCTTTCGTCTACACTTCACTTTCTGCCCCCTCCGGCCTTTTGCCCCCTCTCCTTCTAACTCTTTCTTCTGCCTTTTTACTGCTACTCCTTGGCTGCTTATTGCTGTCTTTGAGCCACACCCCTGATCTTTAGGTAGGTAAGATCGAACACCTAGCCTTCTTAGATAAGAGTGAAAGATTTCAGAGTCTCATGTGTAAGTTGCAGATCTCTTGGTGGTCTTAAAAATCGATTTAAATAGGCTTCGGCCGTCACCTGGGCAAAAATTCAAAATTAATCCCTACCAAAACTGAAAATGTTTTATGTATCTTGCATGCTCATATGACCGTACGCAGTTGCGAGTGCCGTAAAACACTTACCAATAGAAAAAGAAGAAAAAAATGACAGATTTCAGAGTCTCATGTGTAAGTTGCAGATCTCTTGGTGGTCTTAAAAATCGATTTAAATAGGCTTCGGCCGCCACCTGGGCAAAAATTCAAAATTAATCCCTACCAAAACTGAAAATGTTTTATGTATCTTGCATGCTCATATGACCGTACGCAGTTGCGAGTGCCGTAAAACACTTACCAATAGAAAAGAAGAAAAAAATGACCTTCCCTTAAAGTATGTTAGTCAGTGAAGTATTAAATGTGTTTATATCAGTGCCTTGGTCTGTTTTTAGAGGAGACGTTTATTGATAGAATCACTTAGAAAACAAAAGTATTGATTACTGTTGATTGCTGGCACTCTTTGCTCTAGAACGTTTGACGCTCTAAATGAACTGTAAACTTCTCCCTAGAAGTATAAACACAATGCATGAGATCATCCGAGATTGAAAAATTAAGCTCCACTGCGGAGGTACCAAAGCTTTGATCTTAGTTCTTTGCTTTGGCTACCATGGAGGAGCCAACAAAATAGATATTGCTAGAATAAGTACCTGGCGTCATATTATATTTCTGAAGCAAACTCCAAAATTTGTGAACCTAAAGGTCGAAGGAAATCAAAGATATTACACGATTCTGATACCGCTGATAATACTGTAAGCATAACATTAAACCTTAATCTTACCCTAACGCTGAAACCTGAAAAATAAAGCACTTTTTGGGTCAGTCTGGCTTGTGTAGGCTAAGGTTGTCTCTGTAAAAGATGCTGGTAACGATACATCGTCTTAAATGTCTTGATTATTGGCTTCTCCGCATTGTCAGCAGGGCAGCATCTGATGCAGGGCAGCATCTGATGGGGCATCTGGGATGCTCACAATGATTTATTTGTGCATTACCAAAACTTGAGCAAACACATTATATGTTGATCAACTTATGTGATGTGTCATTTGTTCCTTTAGCAGTATAAATATAAACATATAGTTTCAGTGACGGGTGGGATTTTTTAAATCGATAGATTGACCGCCGTCTGGGAAAGATGATGGGCGACCTACCGCATATGCAATACGCTGGGTCCAATGTGAATTTGACAATTACCACTGACAGTATTAACCTGATGGTCATGGAGTCAGGCGAGGTATGTGTCGTTTTGATGTGTTGTTGGAACTTTCACTACTTTCACTTTCAGTGTTTATGACCTTTTGTAAGTTCAACTTCTTCCTTACCCTAATGGGGTTCTTATGTAGTACCAGAATAATTTATCCGTTATATTTTCCTTCAATTGTCTGCTAATTTGAATCCTGTGAACTTGTCCAGGACAACCACCCATTGTCAAGGAGAAAAATGTTGGTCTTATAAAGGTGGTACTGGTGGGCAGTGTCAGGGGGAGTGGGGTATGGTCAATTGTACAGGTGATTGTCCTGGATAGGCAGTTGTTAGAGAAGGTTGAACTGTACGTTACATTATATATGGATTTTTTTTTTCAGTTTGTAATTGCTTTTAGTGGGTGGTTGGCAAGTGCTGGTTTTCTTCTTCTTTCCTATCATACATCTATCGTCTTTATCTCCCCTCCTTTTTTCTTTTTGTTTCTCTCTTGTAACATCTCTAATCTTCGACACTTACATGACCTTATTGTGTTGCAAGTGCCGTAAAATGCTTACTAAAACTGAAATAGCTTTTAATGTCAAACTCTCTGTAGCGTCTGCATATTTTGTTTTTGTACTTATTTAGATTAAATGTGACAGTCTGCAACACTTAAAACAGGTCTGAGATGTTGGATTGTAATAATTCTGATATCTTATATTTCAGATCATTGCTGATCATCCTCTTCATGTTGTTTCATTTGCATCCGGTGGAGATGTGGTATGTAGATTATTTTCTAATGCACTATTCATTGTACTTTTTAAGACTTAAAAGGGTTTCACTACTGTGACAAAATCTCTGCTTTTCTAAAATGTTTTTGCCAGTCGTAACCAATGATAATTAATGGTCATTTACAAACAAAATTTAAAAATGGTAATTTACACAAAAAAACACACCAAAAAAAAGCCCTGACCCAGGCTGCCAATGGCCACTGTGAGACAGACACCACACCTTCTGTCATATTACTTCATGATGTTTACTGAGGTCGGCAGCACTTCTGTTTTTACTGGTTTTGGGGTAAGATGTGGGTAGTGACAATGTGTTCAATAAATTGGTTAAGACAAATACTGTCTCACAGTCACTCACTCTGATGACTTTTTGTCGTTGGGGGTTTTTGTCTTCAGCATGACAGAAAAACTAGAGAATTTCCCTCTAAATATAAATCGAGATGTTGATATGTCCATAGGAATATAATAATAATAGTATTAATAATAATGATAGTAATAATAATAATAATAAAGATCCCTTCTATAGTGCCCACTCCCTGATTGTTCGGAGTACCTCCAAAAGTTTAAATCGTTTCATACATGCTGGCAAAATCGACATACGACAATTCTTTCTAGTAAATATACACAAAGAACACCTACACAAAAAGACGATCATTGTAGCTTTAGATCACATTTGTTGCTGGAAGAAAAATCAAACTGCAGTATAACACGAGTAATCGTCTGGGTTTTTTTTAGCCGAGTTGCTAGTACTAGTTGTAAATGAGCAAATGAGTAGTTTCCTAATCTAAGTCTAATTTGAGTAACTGCTTTTCTTTAAAAATTGTACTGTTCCTCTGTTCAGATTACAATGACGAAAGTTGAGATTACACTTAATTCAGTTATTGTACATTAAAGTATTAAAGTGGGGAATAAAACTGACGCAACAATAGAGATCTTTCATAATGTCTTATTGATAAATTAAATTGTATGTTTATTTCTCAAAGTGCTTTGTATGTTCCTGTCTTTTTCTACTTCAGGACACCTTGGATTTTGTCTCATATGTGGCAAAAGATCCTGAGTATGGCAGAGCTTGTCATGTGTTGGAGTGTGGAGGTGGGCTTGCTGAGGATGTTGTCACCACAATTGGCCAAGCTTTTGAGTTGAGGTTCAAACAGTATCTGAAAAAGCAACCTAAAGCTGTGCAGTTGCCTGACAGGTATTTTTATCCTTGCATGCTTCCTTTGTCATGTCAAAGAAGGGGATATTTTTACGTTCTTTTTTTCAAAATGGAATTATAGAAAAATTTCTTGGTTATTTTGTCATACCGTTTTGTTGTGAGCACATTGGATTATCATGGTTCTTTATAATTTTTATAACATTTATTATTGGATACCTAGCCATTTCTTCATCTAAAGCAAATGCTTTCATTTTATGTGATATTATTTTTGAGAATGCTCTTTTGCTTTTAGGATCATGTGTGATTTGAAACAAAAGAAAAGACAATTTAATGTATAGAAATATTTAATGTATAAAATCAATACTGTTGTAATCAGAAATGCTGCAATGTAAATTGTTTATTGATACTCACAACATTTACAGATTGTTTATCCGAATGGTAACTTTTCAGACAAGACAATCCAGGATTTGAGGATGAAAAGTGGGGAAATGCTGATGATTACTACAATGACAATCCTGATGCAATTGCTCCTGTGCCTGGGATGGAAGCTGCAGCAGCAACCCCGGTAGTGCCTCCACGACCAGAGCTAAGTACTGTAAGTGTAATTAGAGATAAATTCATTTCCCCTTGACCTTGACATCAATATGTCAATAATAATAATAATATTAATAATAATAATGTTTCCATAATACCCACTCCTGTGCAATACAACTGAAGGCATTTTACAATACTCTAAACACAAAATACATATGCATGAATGTTCATAAGTGCTCTTTAGATTAATTAACACTTATTCAAAAGGAGACATTCATTCATCACTGCATAATCAATGGCGATATGTTCATCACATTATAAACACGCATGAGTATTATGAAGAAGGACAAGATGGCATTTCAAATGGTGTGTTTTAAAAAGAATGATGCCTCCAACTTTGTATTCCTTAAAAGTTGTGGGAGATGAGTTCATAAATTATTAATGTAAGAGAGCTCATTTTACCGTACTGTTTTTGTTAAGTTTCTTTTGTTCCTGTTTATTTCCTTTGCTTTTCATCGTCAAACTAAAATTTTTGTGACATTTATAGTGGGGTCATCTCAGCTCTCAGGTGTCTGGTTAGTGATTAGAGGATGCTTGGTGACAGTAGATCACTAGAGAGTTCTGTTGTTCTCAGTAAATTTATTAAATGTTTTGGTTTCAGTTTTGTCTGTGAGGCAAACAAAAAATGTGTTCCTGATATATTTTGATGGGTGACTGAATTGGGTGCCCCTAAAATCCATCATGGGTGTTGTAACTCTGGTTTCAGACTGGAACACATGCCACTGTAAAGGAAGACCAAGGTTATGATGAACCAAAGGAAGATGCAGCGGGGACCGGTGGCTTATATGATAACAAAGGTTTGGTGTTTGAATCATTGGTTCATAGAGGCTGTCCTCTTATTACAGTATTACTCACATCAACAAAATATTGGTTACAGCAGTGTCTTTTCTATTTTATGTCCCTTTTTATTGTTTGTTGCCAAGGAAAAGTCGTTGAAAAATGTTTTGCTCACCATCAGTTACATCAGTGCAGTATGCATGACTTGAATTACTGCTAACTATTCTTACCACTGTATAGCTCCCATTTGCACCTTCAGCCAAGTTGTGAAGTTACGTTCTTCTTTCAATAAGAAATTGCATTTTGGCAATGATAATAATAGGTGGCATACTGTCAAACATGTTCAAGACAATCATCCCTTGTCAAGGAGAAAAGTTGTCATCTTAGAATTGTGGTCCTTTTGGATAGTATTGTATATGTAGAAAAAAATGCAAGGAGAGAAGTAGGACTTATTTGATGCAGGTGATTGTCATAAATTGGTGGTTGTTAGAGCAAGTTAAATTGTATTAACAGTTGCGCTACAAATGCCATTTTTAAAGTTTAGCCCGAACTAGTACCATCGTGGTGAGGCACATTTCATTATCAACTTTTTTTCACAGTACATGATTCTTCCTCTTAAAAGTACTACAGAAAGTTGCACTTTTTTTCTTTTTTTTTTACAAAATGCGACAAAAGCTGTAGACTTTTTTTGACATACAGGGACATGTCTTCTGCGCGCCAATGAAATCCTTTCCTTGAGGCATGTGACTTTGCTTGTGGTCAATGAGAGTTTGTCAGCGGGTCTTTCCCTTCCTTAACCCAATTCACCCTGCGTTGCCGCAGCAGTACACTTGTGTACACCTGGCTTGCAGCGAGCCGGGGGGAAAATCGGTGTGAACTGGACACACTAAACTTAGACGCGCATTGTACCCAAACTATTTAAGGTATCAATATGAAATTTCTCTTATATTTTACTTTAAATGTTCTTTTAATTTTATTAGAGAGAAAGATGAAGGAAAGAGCAAAGAAAACAGTATATTCTTCGTCCAACTGTGACTCATCGGCACTCGATTTAGCCATAACAACTTATAGTAAATGTATGGTCTAGATCTAGCTTTTCTTTGAAGTTTTCAAGGCACTAAAATCAATCCGATTGCCTTGTTTTTCTCAATTTAGATCTACTTTCACTATCTTTGCCGCTTATACATAAAACAAATTAAGAACATGGTTCATTTATTTCAACAAACACAAAAATAGCAGTGGCACTTGTTTTGTGTGGCAGTTTTTTTCTTCTTCTCGTCCATGAAGATTTCAGTACTCGCTTTCTTGTCATAGTTTGCGGTGAGAAAACAACAAAACTTACTCATACCTGACAAAAAAACTGGATCGGAACAAGCTTGCAAAAGTTTTTACAAGCTACAAGCGACCTATTACTTTCAATAGAAACCAGAATAAGTGGTTCAGACTCGACTTTGTGGACTGGTATTTTGATGCAACTTTTCTTGTAGCTCGGTGGACGGAAGTGCGCGGCAGCTACAAATATATTCGTAGCTCGGGTGCTATGGGTTAATAATGTAATGCTGGGTGTTGTCAAAAATGTGTGGAGATCTGATCAATTTAAAGTATAAGAATCTAACTTTGATTTCATCTGTTGACAAATATCAATTCAGCTTCACATCATGTTTACTCTAAAACCAAAGTTGTTCAATATTATTGAGTAAATGGGCGAAAACAGAAATCTTCATTTTTTTCAAAACCTGAAAAATGGATGTGTTGTGTTATGTCCCGAAAGTGTTCATATAGAGCATCCCTTATGCAAAGTAGGCTTTATGCACATTACTATTTATTATTACCCAAGTTGACCTTATAACACTCTAAAACATTCTGAACTTTCTGTAAAGCATTCAGTTAACACAAATGTGCAAACAAAATATTGTACTGTTATGTTTAAGTAAGGAAAATTTGTGTAAAATGCCTTTCTCGTGGATACACTGATGGACCAGACTAGGATTTCAATGTGTGATCTTTTTTTATGTTAATATTGTGAGTGTAACTTAAAAATGATCTCTCACTTAGATATATGTATTTCTCAATGTCTGTAACTTAAAGTAGTGTACTGCCTTTATAAAAATCATAATAGTTTTTTTTGCCTTCCCATCTTTAGTAAGAAGGTTGGTACACTGCTTAATCTGTCAGTCTTATGTTATTGTGGTCCTCTGGTTATGTTTATAGTCTTACTGAATTGCCCACGACAGTCCTAGGATGCACAATGAAGGGGTTAAGGCAGTTACTCTTAGGCGGGGGCTTTTGGCTCAATGATATGTTAAAGTGATCATGTGACATTTCAAAGCATAATCACAAAACAGATTCATGGGAAAGACTTAGATTTTTGGAAATTTTCCAGACAGGTAAAGTATTGATATGGTTCATTTTTACTTACTCTTAGTTCCGCAATTTACCTTTTCCTTTTATTTGCTTGCTCCTTCATGTGTTGCTTTATGTTTGCCTTTCTTTTTTCAAGCAGCAAAAACCAATGGAGAGGCTGGTATGAGTAAAGTGGAAGGTGTGGAGTATGACAATAGGGGCAAGCATCTCACAGAGCAAGATCAAAATAGCCAAATTGATGCTTTTGACATGGGTATGTCACCTGTAGAAAAATTCAATCTTTCAGCCTTTTAAAAAAAAATTTTTAACGATCAGAGTTTTTTTTCTAAGATCATTTGAGGATACACTTGGAAAGCTTTGATTTTTTTTTTTCTGGCTCTGTGCAACTTAGCGTGTTCAACTTTACTATGAATCGGAAGTGATAGCATGAAGACAAAAGTTACTGCACTATTCTTTTCTTTAATAAGTGTTTCACAGTGCTCGCAACTGCATAAGGTCATATGAGCACACAGGACACATTGAGCATTTTCAGTTTGGTAGGAATTAATTTTTAATTTTGCCAGGGTGACGGCCGAAGCCTAATCCTATCGATTTTAAGACCACTGAGAGATCTTACACACGGGGGCTGCACAAAGGGCCTTTGAGATTTTTTCACCTTTATCCATGAAGGCTATGTGTTAGATCTTACCTACCCTAAGATCAGGGGTGTGGCTGAAAGACAGCAGTAAGAAGGAGCCAGGGAGTAGCAGTAGAAAAGCAACAGAAAAGCAGCAGAAAGAGTCCGGAGCCGGGGGGGGGGGGGGAGGCAGAAGGTGGAGATCAAAGGAGGTGAAAGAACTTTTTTTAAAGAGATTAACATTTTCCGTTGCTGTCAGGTTTCGAACCTGGGACCTTTACTAATGAATGAGAGGTGAACACCATACCTTTAGCCATGAGAGCTCCTTTACTGCATTGTTGAGTGTACCAGCTAATGGTTTACAATTTGGTTCATCTGCTGTCTATAGATCAGATCTGTTCATATGAAATGGACATAATTTGCATTGTCATGGAGAAAGTAAAGTATAATTTGAAAATATTTTTTTTGTAAAACTGTAGTTATTGTTATTCTTTTTCAATGCATTTTACCAGATTGAGTTTTTGTTGTTTTAAAAAATCCATATTTACGTTTTAAAAATCCAAGTGTCATTTAAGAGTATTTATTACTTTTCTTTTTTTTTCTTCTGAGATTGTCATTTTTGCAATCTTGCCTATGTGGCTTGGTTGCTTTTGACTGGCAGTGGCAAGGAAAAGGTATGTTAAATGGAAGTGGGACTTGAATTTTCTCCCTTTAGGGAATTGTTTTGTTTTTTTCCCCTATTACATTATAAATGGGCCAAGTGGTGTTCATTGGAAACCGTCTATTGTATTTTTAGATGTAAATCAGAGCCAAGCTGGCAATGAATCGGGCCATATTTCATGCTAGGTGGATAAATTATTTATTACATTTGTTACAGTGAGTGTAATGTCGTATTGGGAACCAGTGTAAAATGCCCATCTTTATAACTTTATGTTTTGTGTTCATGCAGAACCTTTCAGTGTTGATCTACCTCCACCTCCGGTACCTGTTGCTGCTGCCTCTTCAAAAAAGTCACACAAAGGGGCTGAGATGGATCTCCGTGAGAATAAATCTCCTTCTACAGAAGCATTGGAGCCTGTCTTTGAAGAGTGGTATCATGGAGATCTGCCTCGTAAACAGGTGAATGAATTTTATATCTCACTTGATGATTTGGGGAAAATGTTGACATTTTTTTTTCTTGCAAGTAGCAATTGTCAGATGAGAATGTTGTGTAGAGGGTACTTCTGAATATAACACTACAATTACAGCAATTGTCTCTTTTATGTGGGGGGTCACATGTTTCGGAGTTGCGCGGAAGGATTGATGAAAAATAATTCCAAGCCGATTACTTTATTCTAATAGAAAATGAACTGATCTTTCTATTGGTATCTTTTTTGAGCCAGTGTTTTACATATTTTGTGTAAAAAATTATCTTTGAAAACTTTGACAGTATTTTAAAAGGCTTTCTATTTAAACGCCAAAGGCCAAAAATATACCACGGGAAAGCACTTTCAAAGCTCTACTGTTCTTCAATAATGAAAAGACGCGCGTCACCACTGTAACAAGGAAAAGCTGAACTTTTACAAGGTGTACAGCACTTACTGCTTTATAGCGAAAGAGCAAAGAAACAGCTATCTGAATTTCCCCGATTTCACCGATATCATGCGCTCGGAAGGCCGTGAGCGCCCTCGAGGCTGTGTTTACGCTACCTAATTATTATTTGCTGGTGTGATCTGTTTCTCTTACTTTCTCTTCAGTGTTCCCATCATTGAGATCTTCTAGCACTTGCTTGATGTATGCAGCTGTGAAGTTATTAGTTCATATATTTGGCTGACGTGAAAGTTAAGGGAATATGCAATTATCTTTCATGTCAGTCTGTTTGTCTCATTTGAGACTTTAAAAATCTGCTTCTTTTGCAGGCTGAGTCCATGCTTGAATTTGATGGTGATTTCCTCGTAAGGAAAAGTTCTAACAGCCCAGGACAATTTGTCCTGAGTGGCAAGCAAGCAGGAGCTCCCAGACATTTATTACTGGTTGACCCTGAGGGAATTGTAAGTACCATAGCCATAATACTAGTCCTGAACCACAGCATATTATGTCAAATGGAGTGAGCCTAATTGTCATATTGGATAATTTGATAATTTTGGCTGAAAATATACTAATTCCGTCCGCCTGGTGTATGCAAACTGAAAGTGGTTGAAGGATACAAAAGTATAACTCTATATTGCACCCGACATTCCATCACTTTTGGGGATTGACCTCATTTGATACAATGGCGCTGTCTAGGGAACAACAAATAGCATTGCTGTTGTATTTGCGAAAAAGATGGCAATACACACATGCTCGCCAGTCTTTTTTAATTATGAAAAACAAAAAGTCTTAAATACACTGAAAATCGCAAATCCTTCGCCCCTGGGGGGTTTGCGAGTATGCTAGCTGAAATCTAACCTTGCAAATGCGATTTTAATGGAATTGCCGGGAGCAATGACTTATTTCCTCTCTAGGATCGGCCTTCCTGACAGATAGAATGCTGCATGCGACAATCAAACCCGGCTGTCTCTAGACAATGTTTGCAAGCTGGATTTAGTATAAGAAGCCCATCCGTCAACTCTTTATTTTACTAGTAATAGTAGTCCGCCAGTTTTTTGTTTTCAAACCGGGTTCAGTATTATTTTCGGCCTTATTGTGATGTTCAGATGAGCACGGATATCTCGAACACATTGGGGATTGACAATGTATGTTCAACACATCCGTAATTGAGTACACAATGATAATGAAAAATAAGAAAGATACTCAAGAAAATCAAGAGAAGTAACTGACAGTATAGACTAATTGTCAGAATGGGAAAATACATCATTGCCATTATGAAAAGTACCCAATATGTGGCATAGGTAGTGTAGTAGGTAGGCTACTAGACTCATAATTGTGAGATTATGAGAGCAGCTGAAGTGGAGCCAACTTTCTTCATTTCTCTCTGCAGGTCAGAACACGAGACTTTATATTTGACAGTGTAAGTCACCTCATCAACTACCACAGACAGAACAATTTACCCATTGTGACTCAGGGAAGTGAGCTACAGCTTGTTCGGCCTGTGAAGACCTCCCTTTCAGCTATTTAATCCCGATGTCAGCTTTCACAGGTGTTGAGAATGTGCAGTGGTGAGATGTCTTATATATTGTGAACCAATTCTGAACAAGGAGCATAAGATCAGTCTCCTTATGAAATGGCTTAGTGGTTTTATGTTTTTATTGAACTACATGTAGTTGTCAGCAATGAATGTTGAAAGAATTCAAGAGAGAATGTTACTGAAACATTTAACAATAGTGTTCTTTTCACAGTGTTTGTCTGTGAATGGGGTTGAATGTATTTGGGGGCTTCTCTTTCATTGCAACAAGGACTGTCAGTTCAACATACAACATTTAAGGCTAAAATAAAAAGTAGCACTCTCACCCTTCTACATATTATTTATGGGGACACTTGTACTATTGTATGCACCCAAGGGCACAGGCCTTCAAATGGTGGGTGTCTTTAAAAAAGGACCCATTCAAAGGGCAATAACTTGGTCATCTTAAGACTAATGTCAACGAAACTTTGAAGAAATGAAATTCAACCAGGGGGACATTACATTCTTCACAATGAAATAAATCAACCATCATGTTCGAATAAAATAAGTTTTTAGAATTTCAACCCAAATTGAGTGAAATTCAAAACATTGCAAGTTCTTTAAAGTCGACCATACTGGGGTACTGGTCTTTTTTCAAATAGTCATTATTTGTGTATTGAAGAACAGATGTAGGAAAAAAAAATGATTGCCAAATAAATCTAAGGAGGTGATGGCTATTTAAATATCCAGGTGTTGACCATTTCTCTCCTTACAAGCTCGTCCAATATGCCACTGTAAATTTTGAATGAGCCCATGGCATCTTTTTGGGTCTATTCTGGGGACGCCCTGTTCAACAATGAATTTTGATTGTTTATAGCTTGTTTCCGCAGACTCTGTCTGTCAAAAAACTCCAAAGGTAATCATTTAAAGGGCTCAAATTTGAAGGAATATTGTGACCATTCATTTGTAAACTTTCGGCCTTTAAGGCGTTCCCTATACATTTGGGGTGTGGCTCTCATCCAAGTAGAACCAGGCCTCTACAGCTTAACACTTTCGCCTCCCCGAACTTCTCCAAAACTTTTGCAGCACAATGAGATATCAATCTGACGTTATTGTTGTGGTTTATTGTCCTTGTCCATAAACGAGAACGGGCTGATCACACCCTTGTAGCTGAACATTTCTAAGAAGTGAAATTTTGCGTTTTTCCCAAATTTGGTTTTAAAAAATTTTACTTGATATTTCACGGAGGCGTCAAAGGATTTCCTTCAGATCAACTTGATGTCCCCTGTTTGAATTTTATTTGTTTTAAGTTTTGTTAAAATTGGTGCACTACTGACCGAGTTATTGCCCTTTAAATGGGTCGTCTTTTGTTTAGACACCCTTTACTTGGCCTTGTCTGGTGTGCGAAAACAATCTGGTGCCAGCACTGGCTTGCAGGAAAACAGTATTACTGTCTGGGGCAGAATTATAAATATTGCGCTAATGGATGCCCAAAGATTTTTGAAGGACTAATCTTTACTTCTGTTGTCCATAGCATGGGTTCATTGTGTACTGAACATTGTGAAATTGAAATTATACTGTCAAGTGTGAGTATTGATTTTTGCCCAAAAGCACTGTAGTTATCATTTTCCTGAACAAGCCTGTTTTTATGTTATGTAATGTGACGTTTTAAAATGGAAATTCATTGCCCAGTTGATGTTGGTTGGAAAAAAAGTATAAAAATGTATTTTTATTCATGAAAAATCGTTAGTCCAATTTCACCTGTCGATTATTTAGGGACTGTTCATAGAACAAACCTCCCTACGAGGACCATTGAAGTTATCTTTTCATAAAGAGTTTTTGTGTGGATGCCACTCAGCGCATTGGACTGTTTTATACACGCATAGTATCGATCTCTACACTCAAGAGTAAATTTGAATTCTTATTTTTTCAGTTGTGTAGACATTGTTGTGTACAGTGTGTAGGCCTACATGTTTGGAAGCCATCATGTTATGCCACTACTACTACGCATCGTAAATTTGAAAGCTGTATTTTATGGTTTTGACCTTTCTTTTTTACGTGATCTGGCAGGCCAGATGTCTTTGTTTTTCAAGGACAGTCCCTAAGCAGTCAAGCAGGGTCTATCGCCAGTTCACTTTTGTCTGTCCGATTTTTAAGAAAATTCTAGCTCATTTATTAATTTACCAATGTGCACAAAACTTTTCCCTGTATTATATTACCCTTTTGTGTGCATATACAGGATCACTACATTGCTTATAACCTGCTCATTTTGAGTTTGAGACAGCGCCATCCCCAGTCCTTTCATTTAAGTTTGCAGATTTCCTTGTCTAGATATCTTTACGCGAGCCTTGAAAAGTACTCATCCCTTTTTTGGACCATGTTTTGTAGACATGCGTACATGTGGTGTTGATCAAAGTAGGTCTACGTTTTGATGTTTTAGTTGTTTGCTGTAAATACCCTATTATTTTTTAAAATCTGCTTTAGGCTTACATCAAAGAAAATATATTGGAAATTTAGTTTACAGTGACTTTCATTAATTGGCTTTTCGATTCTGTTGGTCATCCAAATTTTAGACTTCCATGCAAAGACCTGAGAAGATAAAACAGAGCAATTTATTTTTATCTTGTTTTAACCACGGTCAGATGAGAGTGAACAAGCTGTGTAAATCAAATTCTTGGGGTTTTTGGATAAAGCTGTTATTTCAATAAAGACAGTAAGGGGCATCATACAATATAGTTTCAAGTTTCACTCTGTTTCATTATTTTCATTATAGTTTTTATTATTAAAATATGAGTGCCCAGATCATAGTACTTGATTTGAGCACTCTCTTTTTCTTCAAATTTCTGAAACTTCAAAGAAAAAGATGTCAAAGACCCTTGTTGAGCGACACTGATGATCAGTTGTGTGAGTTGTGTCATAATTCATAAGCATTAATTGTGACTGTATTCCCAGATTTAAGTTTAATATATTAGCCTTCTAATGACTGCACATTTTAAATGACCTCATTGAATTCACCACTACCACTACTACCAGGTACAAATTTTGATTCAGTATTATAGGTTGCTTTTAAGCACAAGTGGGCTATCCCGCAAAATGCTGTCTTGAGAAAATCGAAGATAAACTTTTTGCCCTTTGTTAAGTTTCTTTAAAAGACAAATAGAGTTTTCTCTATACCCAAACAAATTGCCCACTTATGATGTAGGTCAAGATTTCTGGAAACCCCCGAAATCTGGGTTAGCCCGCTTGTCCTTAAAAGCAACCAGTTAATTCCCAATTTGTTAAAAAGGTATTTGTAAACTGGTGAAGGTTGCTTTTAATTTCTTTGGGGGGGAAAAATGGCTTATCTGTCATGGAGGGATTTGTTGTCCTTCAATAGAATTAGTATTTGGAACCAATACACACTGGCAAATTTAGTCAAATTTGTCTCGAGAGGAAATTTTGTTTTCAGATAAAGTTCATCGCTCAAGAAATTAAAAATGGTAAACATCAGGTTATGAGGATATTGCCAGTATCCATTGATCTGTAAGGATGGCATGTAGTATTGTTTTTGATACCATAATTTTTCAGTTTTTGTTAATTACTGCAATAATTTATCCTGATTTTGAAGAAGAGCAGCAGAAAGCCATAACCTTTTGTTATATAGTCTGTGATTTATCTCTTTGTTTGAAAACGTGTAAAAATGATTTGTATGATAACAATTTATTTTTGTAAAGTTTAGACAGTAATTTCAGTCTGTTCCTTAGTTTGATCTGCCTTTGTTTTTGTACAGTCTAGCATGCACATAGTGAAAAAGGGGGACACCGTTAGCTCAGTGGGTATCATGCTGGACTATTGAGCGTATGGCCCTGGTTCAAATCCCAGACTGGGTGTTCTTGAACTCGGCTCGTTTTATGGAGTTTTCAAAGCTGTCAAATCATTTGGCTCGGCCGTATTGGAGATGGACGTTAAATACTTATACCAAATAGTGTTGATAGGAATGTGAAAGCTATACACTTACTTTACACTTACAGTTTACTTACAGGTTACAAAGCGAAATTGGCAGGATGCAGAAATCTTTTCGCTATGTAGGAATTTCCCTCTTGTATGTGTTTTTTAAAAACAAGTGAAAATGTACCGTACCTGAAACTCTATAATTTAATATGCACGTTTCTCTATGTGCATGATAGACTGCAGGCCTACTTAGATTAGTGACTTTTAGGGTTTACAATGGTTAGGCAGGAAAATAATTGACAGGTTGTTGGGTTTTTTTGTTTTATCCATAATATAAGTTTATAGATTACACATCCTGTGTAATTCTTACCTGTTGGCAGGAGGGACCTACTTTTGTGCTCTTATTGTCGGGCATTTTCTTGGAAGACATATATATTAATGTAGAATCCCAGATTGGGTGTTCTTGAACTCGGCTCCTACTCCTATCACCCCATCTGGTTTTTGCTTCTTTTTGGTCTGTACTGAATCTATCGAGACCAATGTCAGGGGATGCAAAGTCTGAATGCACTGATGATTAGGGCCGAGGCGAGCCAGTATATTTCCCAGGAACTGAGCAGAAGTATGGAGTTGTCAAAAAATCTAAACCTCTATTGATTTGTTCACCAATTCTCTTCATATTTTGGTATGCTGTTATAGTATAATTGAATGCGTTTTGAGATATTAAACTATACTATAATTATAATGAATCTGTGCTAAATGGTTTTAAGTGTATGAGGGTGATAATGGGACTGAAAACGGAGACCAGAAAAATTATCTTTTATTTTTATTGTGCTATATAATTATATTATAGATGCTGCTCTATTTCACGAATGACACATGTTTGTCATCTTTGCCTAAGTGATCAAATTTTTAGATCAATTCAAACTGGAGAAAGCTTTCTAACTTCAAAAAGTTAATTTTGTATGAATCATTTAGTACTTGAGCATACTAGGGTATGATTATTTTCCTAAAATCAGTGTTATCATTGGCATCAAAAGCATGAAAATATTCTGGTATAAACTCATCTATCTCAGTCACATCATATACTTTGCCTACAATCTGTTTGTTTACTGAAATACGATATTCGAGAAAAGAATGAAAGCCAAGTTTTCGACATTTCTAAAAGATTCAAAAGAAATTAAGTTTTCAGGTAAGAAAGCTTTTCCGTTTTCACTAGAGAAAGGGAAAGGGTCTAGCTTACAACCCAAACCAACCGACGTCATAGTCTTCAGTGCGTTAAATACCTGTAGTAGTAATAATGGACCCTTTCAACAGTTCATGGCATGCGAAAACGAGTTGTAACTCGTTTTTTTTGTAACTCGTTTTTTCTTTCAGAACTATCCCATGTTATGTGAATGTGTTTGAAAAAGTTACAGCATAAGTAGGTAATTGTTGAACTGCTCATTGTTCATTTGATTGTATTGTAAAATTGTATCAATTAAAAGCCTTTCGTTTTGAAGCTCCCGTTTCAGTACATGCGCAGACTCGGATATGGGCCAGTTTTTTATTTATATCTCTTATTTTTAATTGAAATAATCAGCTTCTTATTTTTATTCACATACTTTTGCTAAAGTGTGCCGAGTTTTAGGTTGTTCGTGTCAGTGATCAAGAATATTTTCACAAAGTGCATCTGTACAACTTTTTATAAGGGAACTTTGGTTTGGAATTTTTTGGGCCCAGATTTGAGAACATATATGTCCAAACCAAACTATATGATGATAATTTGTGCACTAGTAAAGGTAATATTGAGCCTGTTTTGTACTGACTTTGTATAATTTTATGCTCAATTTTCGTTTCAGTTTTACCATAATTGCTAGGATTAATTTCAGTCTTTGTTATTCTTTGTTTAATTAGTGCAAGTCATAATTTTTTGGTGTAATGTTAATACAGGGTGATCAAAAAAAAGAAACTGTGCAACTTCTTTTGTTAATATTTTCCTTCACACTGAAGTTTTGCAGTTCAAATTTGTACACAACATTTGGAAGCCAAAAGGAATTTGTCTAATATTCATTTTAGATAAATCTGTAGAATAGTTTTGTCACTTAACGCGTAAAAAAAGCAACCCATTTTCAAGCTATGTCCCCATTTTTGTAGCAAGACGCACTAGTTTGAGGCTAACAACTAAAAATCCCTATGATTGCGCCATATTGCAAACTACGGTAGTCTAACAGGCCAACATAAGTTTGCAGGTAGTTTTTCTCAAGTTTCCTTTCCCTGCTGAGATTGTGGTTAAGATTAGTAAAGAGCAGAGAGCTTTTTGTATTGAACATTTCCTCACCACCAACTAATTTTGTAAGTTTCGCACAAGGAACGGAAATAATGTTAAAGTGCCTTTAAGGCCTTCTTTGATGTCAAGGGTGGAAATGGTCTGTCAGTTAGGACCAGTAGAGAATCAGAACTAAAAATTCCCAAACAAAACAACCACTTCAGGTCAAACACACCCCGTTCGCACCCTTACTTTATACGTCACCAGGGTGCAGAATTCAGTAGACTAGATGAGCCGCATGAGAAGTTTGTCCATAGACGTCTGCAGCAATGACTTTCCTTCTTCTCAAAGGTCGGCATTCTCAAGGCAGATCTTCATCTATGGCTGTACCATTTTCAGAGGATAGCAATGTGTTCATGATTCTTTGATCGTCTTGAAAAATGTGAACATTTCGTCTTCTACGTTTGGTTCCTTGGCAAAGCCCGTATACTCCTTTCAGGTTATATCAACCCCACCAATGCTATTTCCGCAACCTCACTTCCCCTCCCCCCCCCCCATTGTCTCTAGAAACAGCTCCATGCTGTAGGGTGTACAGTGTAATAAGTGGCTTTGAGTACTCATGGTTGAGTGGACCCTTGTGTTTGGCCTCCGCTAAACATTACGAACGACGCATTAAAATGTGTCGAGTCCAAAGGAGGACATATCTTCTAGACCATTTGTTCTTGGACTTTCAGAATTTAACAAATATTTTTTTAACTCTGTAGGAGAAAAGAAATGTTGTTCAAAGGTTACAGGGATGAAAAGATTAGATTTTGAAAATAAAAGGAAAGGAAAACAAACCAATCATTCCATGACTTTCTTTACAAGATCTTTTAAATTGGTGCCTACATTTTGATTTTCATAGCCATTTCCATTTTCGAAAATAAGTTTCTTCTTTGTGTATTTTATGTCAAACAAATTCCTTTTGAATGAATATTATTATTATCTGTTCCAAATTACAACATTTTAGTACAAATTTTGTGCGAGATATTCAGGAAAAAAGTTGTACAGTTTTTTGGGGGGATCACCCTGTACATTCAAACCTCATTCCTCCAATCTTGGAGGTACAACGGGGCTGGCAGTTTAACATTGTTTTTATGCCGTCTTCTACTAAACAGCACTGACTGCCCAACATCTGGAGGCCTTCCTTTTTGTGCATTAGCAAACCTGACAGTAAGCAGGACTGGTAATATAATGGGAGACAGTATAACAGGTTTTGTTTACATTGCAGTTATCCTGATCTATCGTCTTTTTTCATGGTTCTCAGTAATCATAAAGTGATTAGGTTTCAGTTTTTAACTGAAATGTAGTTTCTGTTAATGTTTGAGAGCATGAACTTGAATACAGTAGACTTTGTTTAACATGAAATGACAGTTAACAAGATGATTTTATACCCCTGTAAATGAAAAGAACACAAAAAATTGGAGGCGGCTGCCTTATCTTTATAAACCACCACTGTTTGTTGGCTATATTTGATGTAATGTGTATTGTAACCTTCTTCTAATCCATTAAAATAATATGTGTATTGATTGACATGCAAGATAGACCATATTAAAGGGGGGGGGGGGGAGATCAGTTGGCAGGAAAGATAAAATGGCCCGAAATTCTATTGTGGTAACCAGATTTACTGGAATTCTATTGAATTGTGTTTTATTTCAAAGGAATTTTTGATGCAAAGAAAAAAAATGAGAATTTGAAATCATTTTGTGTTAAATAAAGTCTACTGTATGTTGCGGTAATATTCTGTTTGTATTATTATGAACAGATTGTCTAGGTATAATTTTTTGGATGGAGCTTGAAAATATTGAAGGAGGGAGTTTATTTTTCCAACTTATTTTGTGTCCATTTCTGGTTGTGACAGAAGGGCAGAGTACAGAGTTTTAAAAAACCAAGATTTGATGACCGTCCTGCTTTCTGGAAGTTCTTGGAGCAGCAGTGGGGTATTCCACGTTCTGTTTGTGTCTCAAACTATAAGTGCTTTTCTCGCAGTTTTGTTACTCACTCTGCTTCTTTCCTTGTTTTTTATTATAATTATACAGTGGAACTCGGATTCAACGAGGTCGCCAAGCCTGACCTAAAATCTCGTTGAATCCGAGTGTTCGTTATAGCAAACAAAAGGTTTTGTGTAGATAATTACAGGCACTGAGCAAGTAATGTTGAGAAGTCACAAGAAGTGCTTGAAATGCCTGCTATTATGAGCTGTGTTGAAAAGAGACCGATTGGTTCAAATGCACACACCTGTGTCATCTCGATTGTTTACCAAAAAGTTGTGTTGCTGTGTAGAGCCTTTAGAATTCCATTGACCACCGCGCAGTTCATTACGTAGATCTACGTCAAGACTAGCTAAATCATTGTGATAATGATCAGTTGCCGACGGGGGGGGAAAAAGACTGTGTAACGCGTATCTGCGGCATTCAACGCCCAGACCGCTAGTGCCCGACCCGACACACACACAGTCACACGTGTGCAGGCCACCCATCCGACCCTGACACACGCCAGAGTAGACACGTGCACGTGCCAACAACGCATGTGTCGGTATGAAAAAGGCCCTGATTGGTCACATGCAATCGGTTAAGTGAATAATGGCTCACGATGCAGGTGCAATGGATGGTTTCCGGGAATAGATAAAGTTCGTTCTGGGAGAAAAATGAGCAAAGCCACATCCTCGGGGGGCTGTTTACACAGGAAGCGACCTCGTTGAATCCGAGCTCCCTGATTTAAGTGCTCGTTGAATCCGGGTTATTTTTTATATTTGATTTTAAAGAAGGAAAAAAAGGGGAATCCATCTCATCTCGTTGAATCCGAGTTCCACTGTAGCCTACTTCTCAATCCCTCCAGCATCAGGGTCCTTTCCACTATACTATAAGCCTTGCATTTTGTGGTTACATCCGCTCAAACACCTCAGGTACAGCATGTCTTTGTTTTTGCAAGCCTTTTTTTTCTACATTTCTTCTCTGCACCTGAGTTCATTCTTGTGCTCTGGTATAGACACAGATAATATAATATAATTGCTTTCTTGAAGTTTATTTTATATCTCACATAGCTTTTGTTTGGCTTTGTGAACAGCCAGTTATAGAAAGAATAATGATAGATCTCAACCTAATGGAACTATGATTATGATACCGTACACATATATAATAATTTGCTGACCTACTGGCTGTCCACATGAATTGTAGTGTAGCTAATGAAATACAGTACATTACAAGTGCATTTTACTTCTCATTTGATTGTCATGACAAAAATTGCGGGGTAGAAAACATGAGGAGAAATTGATAATTAAAAAATATATATATATTGGTCTCTCGTGCATCAAAGAGAGGATGTGTGTATAAATAAGTATAATGGGTTTAGTTGTTCTTGTCTTATTTTTTTCTGATTTTTTGTTTTTGTATTGATCACATTTAAGTGTCCAATTATATATATATATATATATTATATATATATCATAAAAGCGGTAATTTACTTCGCATTATTTAAGTATTTTAAGACCTTGCCATTTGATGCTGTACAATTCTGTTCTGTACCTTTTTTTAAAAACATCGTTCTTCTTATACTATCATGTACAACATATCCACTATAATAATGTTCATAACAGGCTTTGAAATACATTACAGTACTTTTTTCATCAAGCTCATACCGTATCATGATGTCTGATGGTTATTGGATCAAAAATATAATATTGCCCAGGGTGGTTTTGCTAGTTTTAAAAAAAAATTGGGAAAAGTAATATCTCTCACTGATTTTTGGCTAATTCCCTTAGCATCATGCTCTGCAGCATTGTTTATAAAAAAGTACCAGTGCCAGGCAACAAAACCAATTTATTTGAGTAAAAGTGTTAACTTTTATCATGGCAATAAACTCCTATTGTTTTTTTCTACCAGCTCTGTGGTGTGGTTTGTTTAAATGAATTTGGCCCTGAAACAAATCGCCTGGCATATCACAACAATTTCAGTAAGATTTACTAAGAATAAAACACTCAGTATCATTTTTAAACGTTCAGTTGTTCATCCATCTGTCTCAAAGTAAGGCTTATGAAGTTCCCAGATAGTTTGCAGTTGACATTGATTTAAAGTAGAGTGGAGTCTGCTAAAGCTGAACATGGTTGATCTGAAAATAGCGGTAAACCAAACCAAAACAAAATAAAATCTCCAATCTTTTTTTTCTCTTGATTTTTGTAAGAAAACAGTTGATTAGCCGAAAGGCTTCCATTCTAATCCGAAAAGAATTTCGAGGGTTATGCCATATATAAACCTTTCTGTCCCCGTCATTTTATGCACACACAAAAATTCTGAAAAATATGCAACAAAATGAGCCCCAAAAATGTGAAATCATGCGATTCTGTTAATTTTAACAAAGAATGATGAAGGAAAATAATCAGAAATTATGAAAAAAATGATCAAATTTGGCTAAATTATGCGGGGTCCATAAAGCCACGGGGACAGACCTTTACAAGCAATCCTCAAGTAATGCAGATCACCAAGTCTTCAAGATACTGGCAAAACAAAAGAAAGATATTTTTAATAAAATTAGAATGCTCTTGTCCTAACTGCGGCCACAGAAAAACCTCACCATAGTACCGTTTGTCTTCATTTTTATAATCACACACATGTGATGCAAGAATAGAGAATGTGTCTCTGTCATGCAGCCTTCGATAGGCCATAGCCTCTTGCCTCTGGGAAGTTAGTTATAATTGGCCCTATGTACATGTGATAGCTTGTAGTATGTTTCATGACATCAGCGGCATTGGGCTTTCTGTACACTGTATCACTTCTCTACTGATTCTTTTGTCTGTTCAGCAAGACTGTTCGACAATGTCGAAGGAAACACCCAATGCAAACAGCCTGCAACTTGAATTGTAGTTACTGAGTGAAAGTGAACGTAGGAAAGAACACTTTCAAGAAGTGAAATTTGCCACAAGCATGGCATTTCTTGATTCTTACTCTTTGCTGTCAATAATTGCTATGAGCAACCCTCTCTAAACTACAAATCAGGCTGTTCCGCAGATTTTGGCTGAGCGGATTCCACAGCAAATATGTGGACTGAAACTCCTAGGACATGTAACGAAATGAGAGATAGTGTTAGACTGAGCTGAATTCATTGTGTGAAGTACATGTACACTTTGTGTACAGACTGGGAGAGGTGCCATTCAACATAACCACTGTGCATCATATGTAACTTATGTATTATCACGTTTGCTTTGTTCTCTGCACTTTATTTTGAGCGTTAAGAGGCCATCACTAGGTCAGAGCTTTCTCTTTTCTCTTCCCACAATTATTCTTTTGTAATATGTTGTTTTGCCTCCATATGACCAGATATACTAAATATTCAGAAAGTCAGTTTTGCCCATGTCATATCAGTAAAATGAATCAGAAATGTTAGCTTTTTGGTTTGAGAGAATAATTATTGGTCTTGAACTTAATCTTTAGATCATGGAAGCAAATTAAACAGTGAATGATAGTGATAGACTAGGCCAAATAAATGGCTTTATGAAATTGTTATGCCTAATCTCTTTCATGTAAATCATGGTTTTCTATGACAAGTCATGTAAATATTAATTAAATAATATGTTGTGGCTGATGATGATAATATTTATCTTGTGTATAATAAGAAATTAAAATTGCCTATGGTACTTGTAATAGGGCTTCCACCACAGTGTGACATATGAATTAAAGTTTATATGGTGGCATATTTTAAAAGTAGCCAAAGTCAAAGCAAATCCATGCTCGTAACTCTTTGCAGTGCTTGTGGATAGCAATATTTGGATTATCAAGGTCCCAATGACCGTAGGAAACAACAGAGAAAAAAGATATGGATTCCGTGCATAATTTCATCTGTGACTTCTAATATTTCTATTCTGATTTGAATCATTAAATTAATAAACATGTAATATATAATAAAATCTGTGTCAAAATCATGGCAAAATTGTTCTGCAGATTTTGACACATCAAACAGGCCTACTAGAGAACTAAAGAATGCCAATCTACTCTAAATAGATGCTATTTATGTCTGTCTGTCAATTTATGATAATATTCTACTGTCAGCTAAAACTTTTTTTGACTACTCTTTTATTTCTACATTTTTTTAAATATTAGCTCCTATGCCTAAACTCAATATATTATGATGATGATATAAAAATGTGTCTTTTTATTACTTCTATAAATTCACCTTGCCATGCTTTATTTTATTATTTGCCATGCTCGAGTCTGGTATGTAATACTATGTTACGATCCATTTACACTTCACAGAGAGTATTTTTTTGGTAAAGTAACGAGTATGTTTTTGTTATTTCTAAGTTACGGAGTAGACATGCAATCTGCATTTAGTTGTCCAGGAAGAGAACAAAAAAAAGTTACCATGTTTCGACTCTTAGGCCTTCCAAACTGCTGTACTTTGATGCTGGTTAGAGCCAATAATGATTTAACTTATGTAAATGCAACAGATGGAAGTGGCTTGCACATGTCAGAATTGTTCATAAATTTGAAGATAAATTTCACTTTTGAAACTGGTTCTTCAATTTAACAAAAAGATCTCCAGCGTCTACGACCTTGCACACAAAAGATGCCAGTCCAAATCCCATGTGGGGGAAGATATTTTAATATTTTATCTAGTTTTCCTTGTCTTTCGGATGGGATGTATCCCATCCACTCAAACAACCCAGGTCGGTCCTGACTAGCGGAGTAGAAGCAGCCCACCTCACAAGTACTCTTATTTAATTTGTGTGAGTGGAGGCATAAACATGTTTACATGAACAACCTCTCATCCCTAAAAAAAAACAAATCCAAAATTAAAAATAGACTGAAAACTTATGTTATACACAGAGTGATCTTTTCACACTGTTCAAATTTCGGAGTACACTCAGTTCCTGAAAAAAATGGAAAGCAATCTTTTCCTTCTGGGACCAGCTGAAGACATGATTGCTCAAATTGGCATGTTGTTGACTCTTTTGTAAACATTTCAGTTAACCCTCAAGAAACCTTAGGAAACTTTAAACATGTGAGGCATCGTGGTGAAATCAGGCGCACATCAAAATATTGAAATCGAAAAAACTTGCATTTTTCTGTCTGTTCGATAATTTTTATTTATTATTTGACTCAACACGTATTAAGGTCCATTTGATAACAAATTTCTGTGTGGATTTTACCGAAAAATGTTGATTCAAGGCATAAAAAATGTAAATTTGCAGTTTATAAGGACTCTCAAGCTTTGGAAGCCGCCAAACTTTGGCGATCATTTTCTCGCTAATTTTATCTCTGAAACCAGGTGACCCCCACCTCTTTCAATCACAAATTATATCTCGACTTCTATTTAGAAATATACGAGTATTATTTTCACTGAAAGCAAGACAAATGATATCTATAACTCCATAAATTCCACATGTCGGAAAATTGACGAGCGCCTCATTCCACCACATCATGACGCATATTGGTGTTATGCCCATTGGTAACATCCTTGTTGTATGGTTGAGAGACTGTAGTTTGCATGCTGAAAGGGTTCTGACAAATTGACAGTCACTTTGTGATTTACATGATGCAGACAAATAAATAGAAAAACAAAAGGAAAAATAGTTGAATGTGACATACCAATAAAATATAATACAATGTATAGTGCTTCTGTTTTCAAGTGATCTCTCCATCAAGAGAACCATGCTATATTTAGGTGTATATTATGATTATGAACATGAACCAAATTTTGCCACTCTGTAAAACTGTTGCGTTTGACTAGTTTGAGAAGGAGGGATTTTTTAAGCTTAAGGAATACAGAACCACGGAATATGTAATGCTGTACCTCATTTTTTTTTTTTTTAAAGCTATTTCATGAAGATGCAAATCCCATAACATTTTTTTTTGCTTGTTGTATTTATCATTTTCTGTCCTGCTGGTTTAGGGTTTTGTGTTTACACTTTTTTTAAAATTAATTTTAAAGGACTTACGTTGAAATGTTTGTCCATATCATTCTGACTTTACTGGCTATCATTGTTGCCATTAAAAAGGCTGTAAACAGTTCAAAACATGAAACATGAAGTGTTATTACAATTGAAGCTCATGCATTGTGACGGGTGGCATATATTACGTTAATGGTATAGCGACCGCATGTGAATAAACTTAATTTGACAAACAAAACACGTCTTGAAGAGATCTATTTGTTTATTAGTTCCTTTCTAGATTCACATTCAATTCATTTGCATGAGTTTGAACCTCAGCTTACACATTTAAGCAGCAAAACATTCTCACAATATGGCTTCTACAACAGTTCTCTCTTTGGCAATTTTGTCTTGGTAATAGGATGCGGTCTATACTTGAAATGGTGAGGAGGTAAAACCTTACTATTTACAGTGTTGGGTAAGATGCGTTCATAAACTGCCAGCTGGTGCTTGCCCTTCAGAACTCTCCTCCAGAGAACTTCCAAACCACCTGGCGACGTGAGTCTCTTCTCTATGTTATGCTTGTTGTATCGTTTCCAGGCACTGCCTTTGTAATAGACCCTGACCTTGGTTCGCACACACTGCTTTATAACTGGTTGTGCTGCACACAGTCCATTTGACAAGTCTTGTTTCAAAGGCAACGCACTGTATCTACCAGCAAAATCCTGGTTGAAAGCCGTAGATATACATCGGTGTGCAGATCTGTTGTTACAACCCAATGATGCAGCGTTTGAAGACATATGTTGAAGAGGTCTTGTCAGAACCCTCAAAAGACTCCTGAAAGATTGAAAAGTACTTTGTTACTGTTACCCCTTCATGACAAGAATGGCATATATCAGTGGTGTTATAATGCTCTAACCATGAAACTGATTTCTTAAAACATTTTCCAACAAAAAAAAACAAAAAAACAAACAAAACAAACAAAAACAAAAACAAAAAATGCCTTCAAATTTGAATGATTAGAGTAGATATATAATATAAAGTAAGCCCACAGGAGTTTTATACTGTACTATTTATAATTAAAGTGGATGTTAGCTTCTGATTTTATGGAGGACTTGCAGATCCACCTCTTCAATGGTTTTGGAACAACAACATCTCATATTTTTTTCCAGTTACATGGTTACAGCATGACCACCATCCATACATTGTAATTTCCTATGTCAATAAAAGAATGAAGCACCTGATATACTGTGATCGATTTAACATAAAAATACACAATTACACAGTACATGTAGCCTACAACATGTACATTGTAATTGAGCCTTTGCCAAAAGGTGGGACACCTGTGTGTGACAAATGAGATCCAAATCAACTTTATGTTGTAACTCTGGCTTAAATGGCGGAAATCGGGAAAAGTTCGTTCATGACACAAACTTATGAATAATAAAAGTTCCTTTCTTCAGCTAGGTTGAGGTTATGTTATGAGACATAGCAAACAACTTCCAAAAACATAGAATTGACAGGATGTAAAAATCTTTATTAATTTTTTATAAAATTACTTTTTTGTGCCATCATAGTAGTTATGAACGAACAATAAGAGACCAAAAAACCATCAATTATTTCAAGTTTCTTTGACTAGAATTGTCTGTAAAAATAACACTCCAGTCTAATTATAGCCAAGTGATAAATAGAAGACCATTTAAAATATGGTCATAGGGCATGTTATGAATAAATTACATTACAGGTTCTTTCACAACCATTATGACAAACTGTTTCGTTCATAACTATTATGATTAGGCCAAAAAAATTAACTGATTGTTCTGTCATTCACATAAAATGGGTTTCATTAATGAGACTCTCCTCAAAATATGCATAGGAAAAATTCAAAAGTATACTCACAGAAAAACCCTCAGCACTCAGAATACATTATATTTATAATGGTTCGTTCATAGCAGTTATGACAAACTTCAGTTTTGACCTAAAAATTAATACATTTGATCTGCCATTCACTTTTTAAAAACTTACTAAATGAATAATATGTATCTGTGTACATGTTTTTAAAGTTTATTACAATTACGGTAGTCTCCGCCTAAACGCACGATGCTCTGGAGGGCTCCTTAGTGAGTGTTTATACGGAGCGTGCGTTACATGAACTTGTGCAAAGGGAGGAAGGGACGCAACCATCCAATTTCCTTGATATTCTAGAGACCCCCCCTTGTGGGGGTCATTTTGGCCGATAATGTGATGAGTGATGACACGTTTTGTGAAGGATTTCCCGACTAGCGGTTATGAATACAAAGGCGTTGAATTGGGGGGGGGGGGGGGGGTGTTAGACAGATTCAATGTAAATGTAATGATACGCACAATAAAATATCAGGAATAGACAAAGAAACGTGGGTGATACAGTATTCTCCGCCTAAACGCACGCTGCTCGGAAGGGCTCTTTAGCGTGTGTTTATACGGAGCGTGCGTTTACATGAAATTGTGCAAAGGGAGGAAGGAAGGCAGTCATCTCAGGCCTTGATATTTTAGTGATCCCCCTTGAAAGGTGGGGGTCATTTTGGCCGATAATGTGACAACACTTCACTGTTTTGTGAATGATTCCCTCAACTGCTGTAATAGGCGTTGAATAGGGGTTGGGGGAGGGGGGCTAAGGCTAAGCAGAAAGACGGACTCACTGTACTGAATGCACACAAAAAAATGTCAGAACAGACAAGAGGGAACTGTTGGTGATAGATCTAGTCATAGGGAAAAGTGCTCAGCCACGCGGCTTTCCAAGCAACCACTCCCGACAGCCCGTTATCTATTGCAAAACTTGGTAAATGCCTGGTTGACAGAATTTCAAGAGATTTTTCTCTAGTGATTCATTGAACAAATACATTATAAGTTCTTAGAGCGCAGCTGAATACTGAACAAATCTTTAATCCAATAGATGCCGTTCTAGTGTTCTACAGCATTCACACATGTTGCGCATCATAGATCTAGGCCTAACTAAACTAAACTATGAATGCAGTATCGTGACTCAAACACCAGTCAGAAACCTTCTCTCCAAGTCAAAAACGCATTTCGAATGACCCATCAAGAGACATTTCAGTCTCCCGACCCCCAACAAATCACCCGACCAGTCGTAGGCCTTTGTGTTCGTGGAAATTTGGGTGTGAAAACGCTGTCCATCACTCTCTTTGTTCGGCATGAGAGGCAGTCTCACCAAATATCTGGTTGTCTAGACTTGTCTTATGCAAGCTGTCTAGGCTGCAGTGAAAATTTCCCCTTGTCAAGCTTTACCTGTCGGCGTGTTTCACGGATCGAAGCGTGCATTTAGGAGAAGTGACCAAGCGTTTGTACGTCTAAATTTTATAGTAAAAGACCTGTCATGTGACGAAAGCGGAGCGTGCTTTTGTATGGCGTGTGTCAAGGAGGAGACTACTGTAACACTGAAAAGCCCTCAAAATATATAAAATCGACAAGAAGTAGTTTTTCATAACAATTACTACAAAAGTAAAATACTGATTAAAATACACACCCATACACTTATGATAAAAAGCAAAATATCAGAATGTAAGCAAGGTCTAACTAATACATCCTTTAGTCGGGTTAATTAAAAATACATCCCAAAACAACTGTAAATTACATGGTACTATAAGGTTTCATTCATAATCATATGACACACTGTTTCGTGCATAACATTATGACAATCCATTATGACAAGCTATATTTTTGCCTCATCTTCGCATCTCTTTTGAGTCATCAGCACGCTGATCTTCCATGTTTATTTATGCAACAATGTAAAAGAATGTTGTGAAAGAGCGGGAAGTCCCGCACATATTTTGCAAAAGTGTTTGTTCATAACATTGTAAGAAGTTCGCTGCAGTCGCTCTCCTGGCTGGGTGACCAGATGGGGCATTTTGTAGAGCTGGAGTCTGCTCGAATAATCGAAAGCTTGCGAGCAGCGGACGGTTTGCGCCAGAGGCTTGCGAGCAGGCTTGTGCTTAGCCTCCCGCTCGCTACCGGGGGGGAACTTCCGGTGCATTGTGAGTCGCGGACAGTCTTGCCAGGTTGCGAGCAGGCAAATCAAACCATAGGACTCAAGTGTCTTGCTGTGCTGTGAGCGAGATTTGAGACTCGACGGCCGTCCGCTGCTCGCAAGCCTTCAATTAATCGAGCATACTCCAGCTCTAGTGTCCCGCTGCGCAGTGACACTGTGAGTGGGGTCTCTCTCTCTCTCCCCCTCTCTCTTTTTCAGACGTAAGTGGCTTCATGGATAGCAAGCAGGGTGGGGAGGATGAGGGGGGTCTGACACGAGTGGCTTCGCGGATTGCTAGTTGGTGTGGACTTGACTAGACTCAACATATTATGCTGGTGATTTGATTCGATGATTTGATATAGTGATTTGAGGCTTGTGACTTGAACTAGGGGCTTGCGAGCACGAGCGGGTTTGCTACGGGAGTACAACTCTAGTATTTTGTACTGCTGGCTGTGTGACTGAAAAGTGTTTACAAGTCATATTTAAGTTTAAGCCAAACCATGCGAGAGAGCGGACAATTAACTTCGGATGGATCAATATCAAATCAATGTTTAATAGCGGTCATTCTTGGGGATGGTTAAAACAAATTGGGTTTTCTTAACCTTGGAAAGTCTGATGATGTAATTATGACACGAGTTACTAACTTTCAGCAATCACATCAATATAAAAAAATGAAACCGTGTCAATGGACACATGGTGTTATGATGGTGTGTATACTAAACATTTTCCATATTTGAATGCACTTCTGTTAATAGTTTAAGATTTAAAATATTCTGTACTTACAATTACATGTGCACTAAAGATGAGTAAAAAATGCTCCATTTTTAGTACAAGAGTAAGGGCACTATTTGCGACCGGCCAAACTATGCGGCCTTTCCTTCTAAAATAAAAACTCAGGTCTTGTTTCATTTTCCAAACGAAAACCGGGGGCTCTCGTGGCTTAGAGGTTAAAGTGTTGGCCTCTCATTCAAAGGTCGCGGGTTCGAATCCGGGTAGCGACCTAAAAAAAATTTTCTTCTCTAAAATTGTCTCCTTTCACCTCCTTTCCTGCTCTCTAGCAATGTTCTGTCGTCTGCTTTCATCTCCACTTTCTGCCATCATGATGTAATTATGACACAAGTTACAAGAAGTTTTGAAGAATTTGGTCGATCAAAATATCCCAAAGTGAAAATTTGACAGGTCACTTGTCCATGGTCATTACAAAGCTTTCTAATCATATTTTTATTCCATTATAGGTTCATGTGTTACAGTAATGAATAATATCATGCGTTTAACATAATTATAAAGAAAACAACAAAGGGGACCTAGGGAGGGGGCGGCCGCATAGTTATTCCCTTATTTTTAAAAAGTGACTTCTTGCTTGGAGACATCTGCAAAAGGTCCACTCTTTTGGAGAAGGGGCATTGTAATTGTTGTGGTCAGTGCCCATTTAACAGCAATCTAGCTTACATAAATGCATTCAGAAAGCCTGGTTTATAGTTCTTGACTTCTTGAGATCAATCAAGACTGACTCCATTAGATTCAGTGCAGTCTGAAGAAACTGTCCTGTCACTTGTACCTCTTGACAGGGTGACCACCGGGCTCTGGGAATTTAAAAAAAAAATCGCCAAGACCCGGGAATGCTCTGAGAATTTGAGGAAATCTGGAAATTGCCCTGGAAATTACCCTGGGAAATAATAAATGAAACCAAATCTGATAGGGTCAGTAAGTTCATTTTTGCCGGTCGCAATTGAGTTATTCGTTTCGCTTTTCCCGGTCTGATAACAAAACATTTGTGACATACAGGTTGTGAATTATAAACGCTGTGTCGCCGTTAACCCACTCAGTACCATTGGATTTCCAGTAGGAAGATGGTTCAGGACCACGCAAAGGGGAATAAATCCATGTTTGTAATGTACATAGTGGGTATTTTGAAAAAATCATTCTAAAATAACCAATCCATTGATCAAAAAAAATCTTGAAACAAGTTCTTCACAAATGAATAAATTTTAATTTAAAAATTACTTGTTTGTTGTGTGTGTTGACTGTATTTCATAATTGAAGATAAAATCAGCAGAGTTGTAGATCTAGATTTAGATCTAGTCATATGCTCCTCATTGACCTCATTCTCATTGTCCGAATCACCCCCCAAAGGCACAATTAGATCACCATCAATGTCAAATTCACTTCTATTGCTACCTTTCTGTGGGTTTTCTCCCCCAGCACTGATATTTTCATTAAAATTATCCAAAAGTTCGCCTAAATCAGTCCGAACGCGATGCTGGCGGCTTGCGAAGAACGCTCGATCTTAGCTTGCGCGACCCGTGTGAACTGCAGTTTGTTTACATTGAATTTAGTCCAACTAAAATTTCCACAGTTATGTCCCTGCTGCTCTCAAGGAGAGAATGATTTATCTATTTTCTGATTGGTCGAAATGCGGGTTAAATACGATGGTTACCAAGCGTGTACACTTCCCTAGAAACAACGCTACTGGCGCGCGGCCGGCTACGGCCGTAATGGTACTAGGCTTATGGAACGAAAGCGGCCGGCTACGGCCGTTATGGTAGCCTACTGAGTGGGTTAAAATAAATCAATCGAAGTGTATACAGACCTGGTAACCGGGAACAAAGTCACGAAGTATACAGACCCGGTAGGGGAACTCTTTTGTGATTTCGGAAAGTTTCAGCGCCCAGACCCGGTAGTGTGTGTGTGTGTGTGTGTGTGTGTGTGTGTGTGTGTGTGTGTGAGAGAGAGAGAGAGAGAGTTAGAGAGAGAGAGAGAGAGAGAGAGAGAGAGAGAGCAGGGGGAAGTGCTAGCAAAATGTATATGACATGCCCGCCAGTTGGCAGGAGGGAACGAAAGACAGAGACAAACAAAGAAAAAAAGAATGCGAGCGATACACACAGAGAGGGATAGAGATAGAGAGAGAGAGAAAGAGAGAGAGAGAGAGAGAGAGAAAGAGAGAGAGAGAGAGAGAGGGGGGGGGGGTGACTGCTCGATTGAAATTATGACATTGTTCTTTTCTTCAAATTGTGATTCCTCCAACTCCAAAAGGGGAAAAACGATCATTCATCGAAAAGACATCCGCAATCTTCATTTAGTTTTAGATCTAGATCTAAGCTAGCCTCGAAATAGGTCAATGATTTTTATATCTGTTTGTCTAGATCTAGACCTAGGCCATAGATCTAGAAGAACCTAGTTCTACCCTGAGCCAAGAGGGTGCTGAAACTTTCCGAAATCACAAAAGAGTTCCCCTACCGGGTCTGTATACTTTGTGACTTTATTCCCGGTTACCAGGTCTGTATACACTCCCTAAATCAATATTTGCGACTGCAGTCACTTACCAAAAAAAAAAAGAAAATCAAAAGTCTTATCCGGCTGGTCAGTGAACCTGCGCGCGCTCGCATCACATGTCATCGTGTGAGTATGTTTGCAGGGGTCACCAAAGTTCATTCAAAGCCTGCCCCCCATATATCAATGAAACGACATCAACGAGGACGATAGCCTACACCGGCTTCTGATTGGCTAAAATGCAGTATTACTAGATCTAGAATCTAGAGTCATTTAGACTACACGTATCTATTTTACAATGACTGGATTAACAGGGCACTAAAACAATATGTCATAGATCTAGTTGAGGGGGGTAGAAACTAGTGAACAACTGCAGTTTTTATCTGTACTGATCTTTGCCTGGATTCTACAATAGAGATCACCAGCAGACACTCGCCGCTCAATGGTGGCCTAGATTTCTGACTACATGCTTGCAACCCCCCCCCCCCCCCCCCCCTCTCTGAATTTGACCATAATTTGAAGTTTTGCAGTTGTTAGGTTTGATCTTAGCTTGCCGTGCATCGGGAGGACTTCCGTAACGAGCGACCACTTTGAGACAGAGCAAAATTGAGGGCTTGGGGTAGGGGTAGGGTAGGGGTAAGGGTAGGGTTAGGGTTAGGGCCTCGTACGGTTAGGGGTAGGGGTGGAGTTAGGGGTAGGGTTAGGTCTAGGCCTCTTCTTTATTGTGTTTGATGGGGTGGTCGCTCGTTACGGAAGTCCTTCCCGTGCATCAAACGTATAGTATAGATCTAGATCTAGAGCACAACTATGGGGGGTGGGAACTACCGAAAAGCACCCAAAATTGCACGCTTTCAACACAAAAGCGCTGGCTGGAACGTTTGTTCACGGTGAACGATACACAGGTTTGGCCTAGATCTAGATATAGATCTACATCTAGATCTAGCTACTTTCAACACAAGAGCGCTGGCTGGAACGTTTGTTCACGGTGAACGATACACTGGTTTGGCCAAGTTATCAGGGTGAACGCCCGTCGGGTGAGAATAGCCAAAAGGCTCACCTGCGCTATTCTCAAGAATGGATCTAGTCTAGAGGTGTGGCCATGACGAAAGGCATTTCCATTTCAATGACGTGAATCATTAAAATGGTGGTAGTGTCAATCATAGAGATATATATCTAGATCTAGTCAGTCAATGTCATTTTACTTACCCAACAACAAAAGCCATTTCAAGTATCTTTCTAATAGATTCTACGTGAAGTTGTCACCACTTGCAGCCCAGCCCACTGAGTTCAATTCAGCTTCTTACTAAATCTTCACAGTTCATAGCCGTGTAGATCTACTCGACATCAGTAGAATCTACCCCTTTCAGTCTTTAGTTGGGAAGTCCTCAATTCTCAGTTCTCAGTCCTTGCACTGGAGACAAATCCTAAATCCAGAGGATCCTGTCGAGAAATGAGAGTAGCGGGCCTTTACTTTAGGTTTGATCACTTCCGATTTGCAGATTGTGTCCAATTATTAATACTTGGCTGGTTTTTCTCTCTCCTTTTTCCAGCTCGGATTTTTCTTTTTTTTTTAAAGATTAAATTAACTTCTGGTGTATTACATCATGCCCATTGGCGTTGTTTGAAGTAGATTAAATAAATTGGAGCACACACGGAAATCGTTGAGCACACAGGTGGAACAGATATATTTATTTTGACAGATGGGTCTGCTTCATAGATATGTTGGAGATGGGAAATGGGAGGAGTGCGACGTCGCGCTTTTCCCTTTCGTCAACCCGCAGCCACCTCCG